CCCAGGGTCAAGTTTTAAGTCCCAGGAATTCATCTTAGGCCTAGCATCAATATCAGCTTACCTACTTTACAGAAGTATGTTGGTCAGCTTTCTCCTCTAAAACTTCCATTACCCACCTTATTCTGAAGGCTATTTTCCTCCATGACAGGCACGAGTGGTTTACTTTTGCCCTCAAAGTCAAGATCCTGCCTCTCTTAGTATCCTTGGAAAACAAGCATCCTAATTTCAAATATTAAACAAATAAAACCTGATAACCACTTTGGGAAGCAGACAGGTGGAAAAATATTTAAGAACAAGAAAACTTTAAAAAAATGTCCCCCTCCAAAAAAAATGTTCGCCCATCTTTGTTGAGATGGTAACTAGAATGCCAATTATACCATGTTTATTCTCCTAACGTCCTTTAGTCAAGCGAAGGAAAACATCATTAAGGAAGCTCAGATATGATGCAATCAAGTAAAAAAACAAACAAACAAAAAACAGGTACTAATCACCTGTGAATATTGTGGCCACAATAGTCTAATTTCAATCTACCCAAGCCTTTGGATTTAGCTTTCTGTTTATAGGAAATAGGTGTGGCAGGCAAATTCTAAGAGGGCCACCAAAGATCCCTCTCCCTGGTATTCATAACCTTGTGTAATCCACTTCTCTTGAGTAATTTACTTCCAAGCAATAGAGTATCTTGATGTTGAGGGGATGTCATGTTTGTGATTAAATTATAAAGATTCTTGTTGGTCCTGCTAGCAGACTCTCTCTTCCTGGCTTTGATGAAGCAACTGGCCATGTCAGGGAGGCCCACCAGGCAAAACTGATGGCAGCCTCTGGCCAACAGCCAGCTAGGAACTGAGGTCCTTAACTCAGCAATCAAAAAGAACTGAACACTAACTATGTAAGTGAGCTTAAAAAAATGCATCCTTCCCCAGTCCAGCCTTCAGCTGAGACCCCCAGCCTTGGTGGGCACCTTGATTGCAGCCTCATGTGAAACAAAGCAGCAGAGGAACCAGCTAAGTTGTGGCAGGATTCCTCACTCACAGAAAATTTGAGATAATAAATTTGTGTTATTTTAAGTCACTAAGTATTGAGGTAATTTATTAAGCAACAGTAGATAATACAGTAGGGTTATAAGAATATTTTTTACAAATACAAAATGGGAGTAGTTAACATTCTGGATTGGCCAACACACTTCAAAGTCAATGATTAAAAAAAAAAAAAAGAGAGATAGAGGAACTGTTATAGATTAAGAGATCAAAGAGCCATATAACCAAATAACTAAATTCAATACATAAAACTTGAATTTTTAGATTAGATCCTTTAGAACAAAAGTTATAAAAAACATTCTTAGGACAATGAGGAAATTTGAATATACACTGGATATTAGATGTTATGAAATTACTAATTCTTTTAGTATGTGGTTATTAATAAGAATATTCTTTAAAATGTTTTTTTCTTAAAAGATGCATAATGAAGTATTTAGTTGATAAGTGTGTTATTTGTAACTTATTTTAAAATAATTTCAAATGGAAGTATTAACAATAGAGATAAAGCAAATATGGCAAAATGTTAACAACTGCAGAACCTAGTTGGCAAGTCCATGAGTGTTCATTGTATGTATGAACATTTTCATTAAAAAATTGAAAGGAAACACATGGAAAAATGATGTTAAATGAAAGTCTTCAAAATTGTATTTATAATGACAACTACACTGTGTGCTACAGACTGAATGTGCCTCTTCAAAATATGTTGAAACATAATCTCTTACGTGATGGTATTTGGAGGTGGAGCCTTTGGGAGGTGATTAGATCATGAGAGTGGAGCCCTCAGGATTGAGGGGTCCCCAGAGAGCTCCCCCCTCCCTTCTGCCATGCAAGGACACAGGAAGACAGCATCTAAGAGCCAGAAAGTGAGCCTTTACCAAACACCAAATATGCCAGCACCTTTATCTTGGACCTTCCAGTCTCTGGAACTGTGAGAAGTAAATGTTTGTTGTTTAAGCCACCAAATCTATGGTATTTTTGTTGTAGCAGACTACAACAGACTGAAACAGACTGAGATACTGTGTATAATTTTCTACAGAAAAATGCACTAGAAATTAGAGTAATAATAAGTTATTTTTTAAAATGACTGAATAACATTTCCTATTCTCAGGTGGGTAATTTATATCTCAAGACCTCTAGAAAGGATGATACGTCACTAATGATCCTCTATACATTTTATTATTTTTTCACAAAATAACCATAGTATACAGTGGTAACTGCTAAGGAAGCCATAACCCAGTCTTATCCCCAGAATTATCTTTGTGAAGAAGGTTTTTAGCTATGCTTCTTCCATTATTTTAAGAAGATTATGAGGTAGATAAAAAAATTTTGTCACATTGTTATTTAATTATAAATTCAGCTAGTCATGAAAAATCATAACATGCTCGTTTTATTTATTTATTTATTGGCCACACCGTGTGGCATGGGGGATCTTAGTTCTCTAACCAGGGATCGAACCCTGCCCCCCTGCAGTGGAAGCGTGGAATCCTAACCACTGGACAGCCAGAGAATTCCCTAAAATGCTCATTTTTAAAAATGTAATGCCAGAGGGGGACTATAATAGTTAATGAATTAGAGACAATGATAACTTAGCTCTTTTGCAGGCAACTGTTTCTAATGCAATATGAAGAACATTCACTCCAAGACTTTTACCACTGGAGGTGATTTGGCAACATTTATCGAAGTTTAAAAATGTGCATTAACTTGACCCACCAATTCCAAGTATAAAATGTATCCGAAGGAATTAGTAAGAAACTTGTGAGATTTGCCATAGCATTGCTTGATAGCTGAAATAGGAAACAATGTCAGATAATAGGAAATGGGCACATCAATATAACATATTTATTAAGGTGGAAATATGTGTACTATATGTCAAGTTTAAAAATCAGGTTATTGAACAATGTGTATCATACGATCCTTTTTTTAAAAAATAAAACATGTTTACATACCAATTGATATGGCACAAGATGTCAAGAATGATTCTCTCTGGGTAGTGGAATTATAGGCAATTTTTATTTAATGTGTGTGTGTTTTATTCAATGAATGTGTATTTTTCTATTCAGAAAAAAATAATAAGGGAATCATGGAAAAAAGTAACTTAAAAAAATCTTTAAAACAATTAGATCACCACTTATCACTTAATCTTTCAAGTGGGATTTTTTTTCCTTTTTGCTAAACTGTATTTTGTAATTTTTCTTCAATAAACATGACATAACAGTATAATAAAAGTGGTTATAAAAACACTTGCACACTAATGGGAAGCAAACAGTGTTTACCATTTGCCACCCCTTACATTTTGAAGAGTAAACTCCTATTCTTAACGAAGACTTTACATCCTACCATTATTCAAAGGTACCTAGTATTTCAAAATATTGCAGATAAATTGTACTTACAATTGCATGCTAAACACAACATGTTAAAAAGAAAGCACTGTATTGTAAGCACTGAACCAGGCTGACCCAGTTACACTCTTAATGCAGTCATTTAACTTTGACTTAACCCCCTAAATCCCAATTCGACAAAAAGCAAAGCACGGGTAACTAATGGAAACAGCAAACAATATTTAACGTCTGGGTACACACCAGAAAATTGCAATTTAATACTTAGCAAAATACATATCCCCTCAATTTACATTTTACCCATTCTCTTTTGATATTCCAAAAGTTTTTCCTTGGCTTAATCTAGATAATCAAACCATTCCTCTCTCATTGGGGAGGAACTGTTCTTCTTAGACTGCAATTTGGCATTAAGCCAGGAAATTCATGGTTCTAAATATCATAAATGTTGGGAATGATGCTCACTATTTTAGATTAAGAATAGTTACACTTCTCTTAAGAAATTAAGGTTCTCTTAGACACAATAAATTATATAATTAATGGGTTGGTTCCTTCTTGATGTTCATTGCTAGGATGTTCATAGACAAATTTGTGACCCCTCCCTCTCTAGGAAGTATGTTATGGTTTGTACTTTTCCTTTTTTCCCATCATGATTCATCCCACTATCTTTACTTCTGAAAATAGAGATAACATCACCCTACATTTAACAGGATTTGGGAATTAAATATCCAAGTGTTTAGCACTATACCGGGACCATGTTAGAGGCTCAAAAATACTAATTTCCCATGACAGTCTCTCGACTTGCAAATAACAGTTTGATGTATTCTCGCTCGCTCAATTGCCTGATAATATTCAACACATTCCAAATTCCCTTTGATATAATGGAAATGACCAAAAATAGACAATCAGATATCGAAACTGGAATGAATAATGAAGTTACCTCAAATAGTGAAGGGGAAAAGAAACTGGATCATAAGCCTGTAGTCAATTTGGAGCTTCATCTGTCTGAACTGATACACATAACACAGCTTAGTAATTTGCTTTTACTTGAACTAAAAATGAGCCATCAAACAAACTTTCTATTTACAAAGGACTTAAATGAAGAAATTATTTTATATCTTTTCAATATATGGAATAATTTATAACAAATTTAATTTTAAAAATTCTAAAGTAGTTGTCCTAAAACAAAACCTTGAAATCAATCAGTGCTGTTGAAAGAATCCAGCAATGAAAATGAGTAGAGCAGAAATTAAATAAAAGACAACCACCAACAAGTAACAGTCTGGGGTATATAAGTAGTAAAGCAGATTACATAAATAAAAGCCCTTGTCTTCTCCTAGTTGGCTAAGGTAAGGGAACTACACCACTGTAGTTGTGTTGCTGTTGGTCATAGCTCATTCTTAATTTATATCTGAACTATTAAAAAACCTATCCCCATTACCCAGGAAAATTTCACAGTTCATCAGTGCAAAAATTTTATTTCTCCTTTGTTTCCCCTCCCCCGCCCCCACTTTACAAGATCTGAAATTTTACTTAATCCACAGCATTGTTTTCATCATCTGTAATCAGACACGTGAAATGTGAGAAAAAAAAAAAACTTACCAATTTAAAATCTCAGTCCCCAAGCCCACTGTTACAGTAAATTTAGGATAAGTCTACAGCATTCACTTACTTTAGCTGGTTCTGATACCGAGGCATACTTTTTTATTTGAGAATCAACGCCTAAAGATTTGGCTAATTGTACAGCGTTTGAATCATCACTGATAAGTGTCCCAAGAGCCACAAGAAGTCTAAAAGTGGCTTCCAGGTCTTGTACAACTTCCAAGACTGTGCTAATTACTGACAAGCACTGAGCTTTCCCTTCAATGTTATGGTCTTTATGAAAACAAACAGAATAGTTCAGGGTTAATGTAGCCAGAGCAATGTGAATGTTCTTATTGCTCCCTGATTTCAGTTCTATTGCATGGGACAGTAGTGATTCCCTCTGGGACATCATGAGCTTTTGTCCTGCCTGGCCAACAAAACAATTGCAAAAAGTCCTGAGAGCAAGCAGCTGGTTTGCTGGCTTTCCTTTAGGGTTCAGAAGACTGATGAGATGGCTGCTGAACCTGGGATGTTTAATTGATAACCGAAGAATGTCAAGTGCAGGAAAGACAATATCTATTGAAAAGAAAAATTCATTAATGTTAAAAAAACATTAAAAATCATATGCCTGCTTTACAAAATGTGTATAGTTCTGAAACTTGTGTTAACTGATTTTTCATATTTATAGAAACTGTATTTATTGCTACAAGATCACATTACTTTAAAAATATGGTAACTCTCCTGGGTTATTAAAATAGCTTGACATACAGTGAGTATTCAATAAATCTTTGTGCAAAGAATAGGATTGGGACCTTGCTTTTAAAAAATTCTAAAACAAGACCAAAGAATTGAGGGAAAGTTCTTCATAGGAGAATTCCAGTTCACAAATGACAACAGGATGCTTATTATACACATTGGTGGAAGGATTTATATTTAAGGGACTGGGTAGACACCATGTAAATGAATGCGCTAAACAACCTTAACATCATTAAAAGTGAGGAAAGCAGAAATTATGGGCCCTGTGATATAAAGGTAGTATGCAACATCATTTATAAAGGATATTCACCTGAAAAAAACTACTGAACCAGAATCTAATTATGTCTAGCAGGAAAAACAGAGATAGAGGAACACATTAAGTGATCAGCCAAATTCAAAATATAGGACATTTTGCAGGAAAAATGATTTTTTCTCCAATAAATCAATTACATGAAAAAATAATGGGGAAGAGGACACTTTTAGAATAAAAAAGAATTAACTAAATAAAAGGAAACATACTTATAGCAAATGTTTCTAGCCTATGTTTAACAGGTCAGATAGAGTTTCGTGGATGGCTTGCAGGGAACCCACAGATGCTCTGAAAGAGTATACAAAATGGTCCATGTATGGGATCATCCCATTACCTTCAGATTCTCTTAAGGTATGTGACCAGAGCAAGACTATGAGTTACAGTGGTATAGTGAATCCTTTTTGTGAAGTTTTTCCCCATGCGAATTTCAACTAACATGTCAACTTTTATTTAACCTAGAAACACCAGTAGTATGAAATTAAAAGATATACTTTCTGCTTTCTAGTTACATTTTAAAGAGTGTTTCTGTACCTTCAGGCCAATTAACAGCTTTCCATAAAATCTGAAGTTGCTGGGCTGTGGGTTTTTCTGAAGAATTATTACATATTAGAGACAGTATCTTTTCAAGAAGTACCAAGTCATCCTCGGTTAACTTCTTCTCTTCCGACTTCCGA